TCTTTATAGATATATGAATCTCAAAGCTTGAAAGCTATGTCAACCCAATATAATTTTACTGTTTCTCCAACAAACCCACCCAAATCTGGAAATAGACTGTATCTCAAAAATTTCATTAACAATTTCTGTTTATTGCCATTGAAAATGGTATCAATTCCAAGTAAGGAGGAATGCAGAATAGGACATGGTGGTGTCCAATCTGATCCCAAGGCTTGAGAAGTTATATAGTAGTGATCAACAGTATACACATCTCATTAATAAGTTATTGTGCTTATTTAAGAATACAATAAAAAACTTTTTTTTCAATTTATGCATATTGTTCTTTCAAACGTCTATTAGTTGTTAGGATATAAATGCTTACTATTTAGACCTGAATACTTAATAAACTGAACTGTTTCATTTGGCCTTGGGGCATGGTGAAGAAAGTTAGGATGGCACTCAAGGTCAAAGACGCAAGAAAACTTGGGAACCTCTGTTCGATGCACTGAAATGGAAAGATCACCCAGACACATTGACAAATTAATAGAAGAGCTAGACCATGTGCATGAGCATGGCATCCTAACTCCTGTAAAGAGGAAAAATAAGGAATATATATTGTTATATTTTATAATTGCAAAAGGAGCTTTCAGAAGGGAAAACATACAAGAAGACCAATAAAAGTGATTATCCACACATTACCCAGCACGGAGACAGAATAACAAAATGATTACTTGGAACAAGTAAAAGTGAAAGAAATGACACTTTCTTTACATTTTTATATCACTGGAGTTAATACTGGCTATCTTTTTATTTCTTTATTTATGAACCATGTAAACATATTATCTATTAATATTTTTAAAAATATTGAAAAAAAAAAAGACTGACTGCAATGTGGCACAATTCCTTTAAAAGGAAAAGAAGAATTGAGAAGAGATGCTGAGTCAAAGCTTGGGAGGTACTGAGAAAAAGTGCAGAGGGTAGTCACGTAAAACAATTCGTCATCTACCCAGATGGTCACTATTCGGGCATTCATAATTTGAGGACTAGGATTACATCATATTCTACAGCCTATCTGCACTGATCCACAAGAACACAAACTCGTTAAAGGTTGACATTCAAGAGCAAAGCCTTGGCTAACACCCCAGGCCTGATTCTCCCTTCCACTATGCTCCAACAGCACCACTATTCATACCCTAAGCACAGCACTCATCACACTGCCTGAAAACCAGTTACCGTCACATGCCACCCCACAGGAGTGGGTCACTCCTGGAGATCAGGAACTGGGTCACAGCCAACTTTCTATCTCCCACACCTGAACCGAGGCTTTCCATTTAACAGAAATCAAGTGCTCACTGTCGTGAATTTAAAGGACTCTCACCCAGTTGTCATTTTTGCTAAGCACTGAGTGTATAGCTCAAGATACTTCCCTTGAACTCATACAAGTAGTGGAGGTTCAGCCCTCAGAAGTATAAGGATATATGTCATTATACATTTATTCAAACCCATAGAGTATACAACCCCACGAGTTAACCATTATGTAAACTATGGACTCTTGGCGATAATGATGTGTCATCAATTTTAACAAATGTACCACTCTGTGGAGGTATGTTCATTATGTGCTGTGCATATGAACCTAAAACCACTTTAAAAAAAAATAAAGTCTTTAAAAAAGTTTTTTTTAAAGGTAAAATAACAACAAAAAGTTTAAGCATGAGGATGGAACACCTATATCTCAGAAGAGAACTGAGTCCTCCTTAGACTATTATTTAGCAGTTCCCACCTCAAAAGGCTGAAATAGGGCATCTGTCAGAATCCAAATATCAATATTGTTTAACAGATCAGACGACAACTTTGGTTCAGGACTTGCTGTATAAAAGGCCCATGCTACATACAATGAGGTACTATCCAAAAGTAACAATCCTGCCCTCAGACAGCTTAAAAATCTAGTAGCTTATATAAATATGCACTTTTTAAAGGATATAACATTTTGCAAAAGAAAGAACACACTGGTGACCATGTGTGAAAAAAATTAGAATAATCTTAAAACCAAAATATCTGACCCCTAAACAGTTAGCAAGGAGAAATTTTGGTTGAGAGTGTCCATGCACGAGAGGCACCAAATCTGCCCCTTCCCTTTAAGGTGGCTAACCAATTCCCTCAATAAGGAGTCGGCTGGTTTACATGGACCAATGCAGCATAAGTCACAGAGTGCTAGAGTGCCACTCAGAAGGAAAGACCCAGAAGACTAACAGTGAGTAACCATGGAAACTGAGAGGCGAAGTGATACTTTGTTTTGCACTTTTCTGCATTTTCTATGTGAGAAATAATATATCAGTTTGAAAATTAGGGTAAAAAAATAAAACTATAGAGAAATAAAGTACCATTCCAAGCCATGGGAAGTTTGGTTCCTTTCCAGAAAAATCTTCAGAGGACAGCACATCTGAGGGAAAAGACCACCAAAGTGGCTGAAGACTAAGCCTGGGCCTTTCATCTATTATCCCCCATGTGGAGGAGAGAGATCTGCTTTGCAAAAGAGTGCTCACATGCTAAAGAACCACCTTTTCAAAGGTGCAGATTGTCTTCACTCAGTTACTTCCATGCCTTAAACCTGTACTGCTTAGTCCAGAAAGAGGTGATACTAGAAATGTGGGCAGCTCCCTGAGCACGGACTCAAAGTTTTCCTCAGGGCAGCCCAGGGATCCAGGGTCTTGATTAACCAGAAACTATAATGCTAAATCAGTTATTATTCCTTTCACTAGATATCTGGGGATTCATAGGTCTATCTATACAAAGGTTAGGAAAACTTCGAATCCTTCTCTATTGAGTGCGCACTTGGTCCAACTCTAGGGAACTGCCAGGCAGTTAGGGTTTGCTTGAAGACCCATTAATGGGCACCCATCTATGGTATATCATTCCTGAGATTGCACGGTTCCTGCCACCCTCAGATCTCAGAGAGAGATCTTCTGTCTTCATAACATTTTTGGAACAAAATGACAAAGAACCAAATTTGGGTGGAAGGTTCATCAGGCAAATCAGTGATGATTGGTGCAAAATTTCCAGACTCTGGCACAAAGATCTTTCTACTCCATTCCTCTTCCCTAGGTGTTACCTAATATACAGATATCCTATCCAGGTTCTGAGAGTGAGGCTGATGAGAGCTAAAATACCATCCTACTAGGCATTTCTTTGTAAAATCAAGAAGTATGCTAAATAAACACACAAGCCTTGTTTCTCTCTTTTATTTCATGTGGTATTTGAGGCCAATTCTTAGCCTGACATGATTTAAAACAAAGTTCCCCATATTAGCCCTGATGTCCACAAACTACAACAGCCACTCCTTTGGGGGCACTCTTTTCTGATGAAAAGGAGACAACTGTTGTGGCTGTAGCAGAAACTAAAGAGGTTTAACCACCCAAGACTGATAAGAGTTTAGCAAACATTGAATAGACAATCTTGTAATGAGGATATAAATTAATAGGAGTAATAAGGTCAGTCTATTAAAATCATTAGTTTCATTAAGAACTTGCCAAAGCTGGGTGGCAGTCCCATTTACCTCCCCAGAAGCTCCCCTTCTAAAACCTACCAGAGAACCTAAAACATTATTTAGAGTTTTCATTTAAGATTTCTTCTCTACCTGACCGAAGTCATTACTCTTAAGTCATTTTAAAAAAGAAAGTTTCACTTTATAGAAGAATCAGAGGTTTCCCACTATTGGCAAAATTTTTCACATGGCAATAAAAGAGTAGGGCAAACTTATGCCAAGATTAGAAATGACAGTCAAAACAAACACACAAGAGGGGCACATCCAACCACTAGTGGCCAAGGTGAGCAGTGCAAAGATACAGAATAAATTATGGATTTTAATAAACACGCGATCCTGCCTAACAGTTGCTGTGGAATACACTCATTCTTGTTTAAAGACTCAATTTCTTCCTACCAGATAAATAGTAACTCGTTAGAGCAATTTAAACAGATACCGATAAAGGAAGTTTTTGATTAAGGTCATGAATCTGGACTGACAGGAAAGCAATGGTGTTTCACAGAAACTAGACTATTTAGAGAAGAATTAAACATGGTAGAGGGGAAGGCACTCTTAGTGTGGTGCCGGTGAAGGACCCTGGCAACTGACACGCTGTGGGAAGGCCAGGAGTGCAAACTGGATGCACAGCTAAGGAGAAAAGGAAATTGTCTTAGGGTCTATACCAGCTTCCCTGTGAGAAACAACCAAAAAGAACAAAATGACCTTAATCTGTCTCTCTTTACTTCGAAAAGTTGTTATTTAATAGCAAATTTCCAAGAGTTTATTTAGGCTTGAAAATGTCTTCAAATTCCTCTTAAAATACTCAAAAGATCACATGATGCTACAGTGGCCATGACAAGAACACCCTTTTTCTTTTTTACTGTGGTCAGATGTCAGTCTCTGACGTGGCAATGCAGCTTACCTTGTCAATAATGTAAAATAAACTGATTAAACTAAACAGATCTATTGAGTCATCATCTAGCAAAGGAAGCACAAACAAGGCCCAGACAGAAATAGTAACTACTGTTTTTGTTTTTCTAATTGTACTCCCTAAAGACCATTTTTCAATCACCCATTTGAACAGTACGTCCAGGTAGAAGTGGCTGGAACAAAAGGCAACACACCTGCTTTAATGCCATGACTTGAACAGGAAAGCTGCATAGTGATCTCAGGGGATATGTGGTTTCCGGTGGGACAGTAAACTACAAGGAACATTTCACAGGGGGGCCTTAGAGGAATTGATACAGAACAGAGATGATATAAATGCTAAGCACTTAATGAAATGATCTTTTGTACACTGGAGGAGGGACAGGCAAAATGAAAGAAGTGAAGCATTTTAAGCTTCTCGGAAAAGATACTACTGTTGCTTTCTATCAATTTTATTCCGTAAATACTTACTGAGCATTTACTCCATACCAGGCATGGGGCTTGGGGGCCAGAGGGCACAGGGAGCAATCTTGCTGATGAAGACACCAGACTCTAGCTCTCAGAGTTTTTGTGTCATTGTGGAGCTGCCCCTTCCTAAAATAAGTTGACCCAGGGAAATCTAGCAATGTGTGCTTACCTCTGTCTCTTGATTCATTTTCTACAAATGAAAAGGACCAAAAGGCCTATTGCCAGCTGCATACAAGGTACTAGCTACATCTAAAATGTCCATGCTGTACACACAACAGCAACAGTCAATCCTGAGTCATATGGTGCTACTTCCAGAAAAGGTTAAAGCTATTTGGTACAAATAAAGGGAGTCTGTGAGAGAGAGGGAGATAATCTCAATTCACAGTCACATTTTTAAAAGCTTGAAATTTAAATCAGACTGATTCCCTTGATAAATCCTTAACCATATACACTTGCCTTCATCTACCTTGGAATTGTCCTCTCCTTACCTCAAAGAGATATTACTTGAGAGTAAATGCTCCCCAAGATCTGCTTGGAACTAGATATTGCCACTGCCTGAGTGTCATTTATTCCCCAAAACATGCTCTCCCTTTTTCCCTTGTAGATCCCTCTCTCCTAATACCCTAGACCTCTACCCAAAGAGACTCTACCTTCACCAAGCTGCTCAAATACCAGGTGAGAACCAAAACTCCCTTTCCTCAACAGTCTCTAGAACAAATGCACTCAATGTTTTTACCTTCCCATTTAGTAACCTCAGTTACATATAACCTTTTTCACCTACGCTAGAATTCACCATGACAACTTTAAAGGCATACATATGTCCACACATTAAGTTACAAATCTCTCATACAGACAGGACCACAACACTCCAAATGCTTCATTAGCTGTACCACCTGTCAAGCTTCTCCTCTCTGGACCAGCTTCTCAGTACAGCTGATGAGTAACTGCCCTTCAATTAGCCTACCACTTGTGAATAAACTGTATTTTCTACCACCCTCAAAGGATGCTTCACACCCTCTCAGTTACCAATCTGTTACCAAATTTCATTCCAATTTATCAGTGATCTGGCAGATGATCTAAAATGCAACACAGCTGGTGTACTGGGTTAGTGTTTCCCAAAAGGTCACGTCACCCAGCACCTGGGAGTGTCACATTTGGAAATAGGATCTTTGCAGATGTAATCAAATTACAATGAGGTCATACTGTGGGCCCTAATCCAATGACTGATATCCTTATAAGAAGAGGGAAATTTGAACATACACACAGAGGCAGAGACTGTAGTTATGTTACTATAAGCCAAGGAACACCAAGGACTGCCAGCAACCATCAAAAGCTAGAAGAAGCAAAAAAGGATTCTTCTCAAGAGACTTAGGAGGGAGCATGGTCTTGCTGACACCTGATTTCAGACAGCTAGGCTCCAGAACTGTGGAGAATAAATTTCTATTGTTTTAAGCCACCCAGTTTGTGGTATTTGTTACAGCAGGCCTAAGAAATTAATTCAATCGGCAAGTCAAGGTAAATGCAAACGAGCTACTTCTAATCGCTTGGCATTTAAGAGGCAAGCTCAAATCTGTGGAAGCTATTAATGTCCATAACCCTAAAAAGCAGGCAAAGCAAAATGCTACTTTCAACCAGATCAGTGAAATCCTTTGAGCTTAATGTAAACAGTGAACACGGGAATGTTCCAATACATTTGGGTGTTTCTGGTCACAACTGCTAAGGGGAACTGCAAAAACCTGAGGGGAATTAGGCCAGATTACTGCAACAAAGATCCTCAGGATCATTAACAACTATAGGACACTCAATGCTCACCAATACAGGCATATCTCGTTTTATTGCACCTCACTTTATTGCACTTTACAGATGTTGCATTTTTTACAAATTGAAGGCAAGACCCTGCACCTGCAAAATGATTACGACTCACTTTATTGCAGTAGTCTGGTATGCCTGTACTTCCAACTGGTTTATGGCAGCAAAAGAGTGCCACCTACTGAAGGACCAGCAACAGAACTAAGGCACAGCTAATGCTATAAAAATTCCAATTTTTATTTAAAACAAACTCCCCAATCCTATTAGGATAATAGCAGAAGAGAAGAGAGTCTACAGCCAACATGTCTCTGTAGATATTTCCTCAAGAGGCATGAACTGTATTTCGCCCAATTCAGGCTCCAGGGATTCAAATAATTAGATAACCACTGGCCTCAGACCACACAGTCAAGCATACCTTTTGCTGCATGATTGACAGTGGAGGGAGGTTCATCATCAGACGTAGAGCTGAGGCTCAGGGCAAGCTCTGCAACTCTCTTCTTCTGTTTCTTGATAGGGGCAGTGCATTCTGGATCATTTCTCCTCTTCATTGTTACTGCAACCATAAATCCAGTCAATTGGCTACCCAATGTCAGAGCCACTAGAATCAGAGCAGGGATTCCTAAGCATAAATCATAAATGGGATGGGATATGGCAACTTCAAACAACTTCCAATGCCAGCACTCAACTGAATAGCCTCTTCCTCAAAATAAGGTCCAATAAGGATGCTAGCCAAGCTCTGGGTTTCAATAATAGCTGTTTTACTGGAAAACGTGGTACTCATGGATCCAGAGGCCTCTGGGCCATTGGTGTCAGATACCAAAAAGTCATGGATCAACTCCACAAGCCACAGGGGAAAAAAGGCCTTGAGTACTTATTATTCCATACTTTTGATGCAATGCTGGCCATGTGTGACAATGTACACAGGAAATTTATTATGAAACTTAATGAATGTTAACTAATATTTCCAAGGTGAAGGGATCACCCCAGAATAATTGTTCCATTACTGTTATTATTTTACCAGGACAATTAAGAAGAAATTACATATGATACAAATACTGGTTTTTGGTTTACTTCAGGATATTTGAAAACATGAAAGAATTGAGAAAATTTTTAACCAGAGTAAGGAATGGAGGCAGTGGTTGACCTAGGACCAAGGAAATAAAAGAGTCGGAAAGTTATTGGGACTGGAGGTAGCCATAGCATAGGACTCAGGTACAAAAACAATAATTTTAAGAACAGGAATCCACCTCTGCCAAAACAAACAAACAAACAAACAGGCAGGCACCATGTTACCATCATCCATGTCCATGGGTAGGTACATGAGAGGTAAACATAAGAAAAAAAAAATGAGATGGAATGAAGAGATTATGAGATCTTGGAATCTTAAGACATGATCAAGTTTAAGAGCAAGCAACAGCAGTAGTGAATACAGTGTGGTTTACTGATTGGCCGTAAGGAAAGAAAAAGAACTCAAAACATAAGAGCAAACAGCTGGATGACTAGCTAGGTTGCAATTCTTGAGAAAGGGGAGGTGCAGGGGTACAAAGACAAGCTTAACAGTATGGGTTACAGCAACAAGAGAGCAATAAAATCCAAAGATACCACTTATTTCGTCAACGTCGCAAAACCTTGAGTCACATTTCACTTTTCTCCAGTTCAAGGTAAGCTAGTCAACTCAATTTACAATCTCATCCTTCCTAAGGAGGTAGCCTCTAACTAGGCCCAGACAGGGGTTTATCCTGGGGCAACAGTTAGAACAGAAGTCATTGAACAAACAGAAAGAGCAAGCTGAGCCACATTTCACTTTAAACCTCCAGTCTTAAATCCCAAGAAAAGTCTATAACAAAAGCAAAAAGGCCCTTTTGTTCTTAGCAACTCTGGGGGTGACTGAAAGCAGGGGAAACTCAATGAGAGCAGTGTTGAGGTGGATGCAAAAAAGGCAAGGGAATGCTTATGTGAAAAGCAGGATATGCTGATAATCCTCTGCAAACCACCTTAGATTTGAGCCTTCCAAATCATCTAATGCGACCCTCTCATTTTCCATTGGAAAAAACTGAGGCCCGAGAGGGGAAGGCCAAACAGCTAACTAGTGGCCAGGTTAAGTGACCTACACAGGCCAGAAGAATGTGCTCCAGCAGGGAACTTATAAGTAGAAGGAAGAAGGCCTAGGAAGGGGTTCAAATCCCAAATCCTCTCTCTAGTCTTCTCTCCCTGGGCCTCCGTTTCGCACTACCACCCCTATTCATAGATGGAAGAGAAGAGCTCCTATCTCCCCGAACCAATTTTTTCATTCGAAGATACGTGAGTGTGTGAATGTGTGCGCATAGACGTAGGTTAGCGGCAGCTCGGGCTCAGGGGAACTGAGGGAGTGGGGTGGGGGAAGGGAGGAAGGGAGAGAGGAGGCGGCGAGGGTCAAGACCGCGGGTGGGGGACCCAGGCGGCAGAGGAGGGGAGGATGCTGAGCCCGCGCGCCCGCCCGCTCGCTCCCCCCGGGCCACGCGTGGGCACTCACACTGAGGGGAGAGGGCAAGCTGCAAGGGAACGGAGAGAGGGGGTCAGACCACCACTGCCAGAGCCGCCGCCGCCGCCACCACCGGGTCTGGCCCTGCTGCTGCCAGAGCCTCCGGCTGCTCCCTCAGTTTCGTTTCCCAAGCCAGCCAGGGTCCGCCGGCCGCGCTGTCGCGCCCAGGTCCCGCCCTACGGACAGCGCAGCTTGATGACGTCACGAGGGAGCCAACTTCCTCCACCCGGCCTGGTCCTGGCCCCGGGGAAGACCTCTCGGGTTCTGGCTCGCCCCACCCCTCGACCTGGGCGGTCCAGGGCGCCTGCGCGGAAGAGCCAGTCGGGAAAGAATGCAAAAGCAAAAGCGGCCAACTCTCTTTTCTTTCGGCTCTGGGGTCGAAAAACAAATATAAAAATTAAAAGGGCCAGGTGCCGTCGCCAAACTTCATCTCGGTTAATCTCATTATTATCTTCATATTACAGATTAAGAACAAGTCTAAGGAGGTAGATGGTAAACTGGCTGAGGGCAGAAACCGAGTGTGCATGTTCACTGATAGACCCCAACATCCAGCACATAGTACCTCCTCAACAGATGTTGAGCGAAGGTCGGGAAGAAAGCATGAATACCGCCTTTGGCATCTTACTGTATGGACAGAGATGGTTTCCCATCCCAAACCACTCTTCTAATTTTCAGGCCAATATGGCCAAAAGTCTGCAAAACATCCTCAGTCACTTCGCACCCGAAATTCAAATCTAACCCTATTTTCTCCCGTAAGCATACTTTTTCCAGTGAATGGCACCACCGTTCATTCTGTTGGTCCATCCTCCTCATCCTCCAGAGCCTCCAATGTACACTTCATTGAGTTTACTTCCTAATTATTTCTCAAATCTATTCATTCTTCTCCATCTCCATTGCCACTACTCATACACTCATTCTCTCACCAGGATTTCTCCGATAGTCTCCAAATCATTGTGCCTGTCTCCAGTCATGCTCACTCTAGTGTATTCTTCATAAAACCAAAGTGATTTATTTTTTTTTTCTGATCATGTCGCAACCTATCAATGATTAAAACCCACCAATGGCTTCCCACTTCTCTTAGGATGAAGCAAATGTCGTTAAGATGGATACAAGACCCTTCAGTCTGACCCCTTTTGCAGTAGTGCCTTATGCTACTACTGTTCCCTTCTCCTCATATTAGTTTTCTCTCAGTTTCTCAACCAGGCCATATCTCTTAAGGGTTCATTCTCCTGCCTGGATCCTCCTCCCCTGTCTTTGCTTGGCCAATGTCTACAAAAATCCCTGAGGTCTCACTTTCATGTTCTTATATCTGGAAATCTTTCCTGATCCCACAACTCTGGGTTGGGAGTCCCACCTTTGAGCACTCCATCCTTCCACTATCAAAGCACTTACCACAGTATTGTGTAATGACCTGGTGACTCATCTGCCTCCCCTACTCAGTTGTAAACTGCACACAGGAAAGGTTATATCTGTGTGTCCGTATTAAATCTTGAATACAGTGTCTGATAGCAGGTGCTCAATAGACATTTACTGATTCTGTGAAAGTAGGGAAGATGAATGAAGGTTAAGAGATGGGCCCAAGGTCACAGAGCTAAGTAGCAAATGAGCATTTAAACCCAGTTCTAAGGCTGTCTTTCTACCTCACCAGGGATTCTTCACATGTATTGTGCTTGGACACCTTTGGTAATTTTATAAAGCTTATGGGCCCATTCTCAAAATAATAATTTGAAGAGCATAAAGTAAAATGTATAAGATGACAAAGGAAATTAATTATATATAACATATCTAATATATTTTGTGATTTTTAAAAAACTTTAATGTAAAACATTAAAAATGAGGAAATACATTTAAAAGGTAGAAAAGTTAAAGTTTATTTTTTAATATATATGCACGAATCTAATGAATAGTGCTATAAAAACCAGATAACTACATAGCGGAAAGATAAATCTCGATTTCTACCTTACACTGTATGTAAAATTAAATAAAAATGGATCAGAGCTAAAAATAAGCTAAAATTATAAAGCTCATAAAATAAAACATAGGTGACTACAGTTAACAATACTGTATTGTATGTTTGAAAGTTTCTAAGAGAGTAGATCTTAAAGGTTCTCATCACAAGAAAAAAAATATGTAACTATGTGAGGTGATGGATGTTAATCAAGTTTATTGTTAATCACTTCCCAATAAATATATCAAATCATTATGTTGTACACTTTAAACTAATACAATATTATATATCAATTACATCTCGATAAAACAGGAAAAAAAGAAGTTAAAGAGAGAACATAGGAGAATATCTTTGCAGACTTGGAATAGACAAAGTTTTTTTGCACAGGACCCAGAGAGCATTAATCGGAAGAAAAAATTGATAAAACAGACTTCATCAAAATAAAAGGCTTCTGTTCATCAAAGACACCTTTAAGAAATTGAATAGGCAAGCCACAGACAAAGAGAAAACATTCACAATACATTCTTTTGATAAATGACTTATACCCAAATATATACATAATACACAATGATAAAAGGAAGAACAGAAGATTCCAATTCCTGTCAAAATGGAGAAAACACGTTCCATCCCATTTCTCCCATTGAATGCAATTTAAAACCTAGGCAGAATGCATAGAACACCTAGGCGAGGATTTCAGAAAGTAAATAGTAGCAGGATTATTGGGGAAGAAAACCAGAAGTCAAACAATCGTCAAATCAGGAGTGAGTTTTTCAATTTCTCCACTCTGGTATCTCCCGGCCTAGACTGAAAGGCAGTTTGAAACCTGAAACTGTGTCACAGGTGCAGAGAGAAAGCTCCAAAAGAAGCCATACACTTGTCATCCAAGAAAGAAGAAAGAAGTATCCATGGATCAGAGAAAGTGGGGGAAAATCTCATGGGTGTTTTTTGTTTTGTTTCTCTGATTCACTTTCACCCCAGTCTTCAGGCAGTCACAAGGTGACAGTTACAGCAAATCTCACAGCCCATTAGAACCACAGCCAATAGAAGGTAAGGAAGAATTTGTGGCTTAGACCTAACTGGGTCAATTCTCTGTTAAAATAAACAAACAAACAAACAAAGCCCACCAAAAAAATCAACATTCTCCATAGAATTTAATTAAGACCTAGAGTCACAACGCATTATATCCAAAATGTCCAAGATAAAATCAAAAATTAATATACAAAGAACCGGGAAATGCTTAATGGGTTTTTTTTTTAATTTTTCAATTACACTTGACGTTCAATAGTATATTAGTTTCAGGTGTACAGCATAATGATTAGACATTTACATAACTTATGAAGTGATCTCTCCAATAAGTAGTACTCACCAAACACCAGATATAGTTATTACATTATTGTTGACTATATTTCTAAGCTCTACTTTACATCCCTGGGACTATTTTGTAACCGCCAATTTATTTCTTAATCCCTTTTTTAAGGTAAAAGAAAATCAATAGACTCTAACCTCATGATGACACATAGATTGGAATTATCAAAGGGTTATTTTTGTTTGTTTTATTAAGACTTTATTTTTTAGAGTAGTTTAAGGTTCACAACAAAATTTAAGGGAAGATACAGAGATTTCATATGTACCCTCTGCCCCACATGTGTACAGCCTCCCCATTATCAACAACCTCCATCACAATGGTACATTTGTTACAACTGATAAACCAAATTGACATATTATTATCACTCAAAGTACATTATAATTGACTCTTGTACATTCAATGGGTTTGGATAAATGTATAATCATATGTATCCACCACTGTAGTTTTATAAAAATCCTCTGTGCTTTGCCCATTCATCTATTTCCACTCCCAATCCCTGGTGATCTTTTTACTGTCTCTACAGTTGTTCCTTTTCCAGAATGTCATGCAGTTGGAATCACACAGTAGGTAGCCTTTTCAGGTTAGCTTCTTTCACTTAGTAATATATATTTAAGGTTCCTCTATGTCTTTTCATGGCTTGCTAACACATTTCTTTTTAGCACTGAATAATATTCTACTGAATATATCACAGTTTCTTTATCCATTCACCTACTGAAGGACATCTTGGTTGCTCCTAAGTTTGGCAGTTGTGAATAAAGTTGCTATAAACATCCACGTGCAGGTTTTGTGTGGACATAAGTTTTCAATTCTTTTGGGTAAATATCAAAGAGTACAGCTACTGAATAGTATGGTAAAAGCATGTTTGTTTTTATAGAAACTGCTAAACTGTTTTCCAAAGTGGCTGTACCATCTTGCATTTCCACTAGCGACATATGAGTTCCTGTTGTTTCGCATCAATGTCAGCCCTTAGTGTTGTCGATATTTTGGATTTTGGCCATTCTATTAGGTGTGTAGTGGTATGTCGTTGTTGTTTTAATTTGCATTTCCCTGATGACATATGCTATGAAGCATCTTTTCATATTTGGTAAGGTGTCTGTTAAGGTTTTTGGCCCATTTTAAAATTGTATTGTTATTTTATTGTTAAGTTCTAGGAGCTTTTTATAGATTTTGGACACAAGTCATTTATGAGATGTGTCATTTGCAAATATTTTCTTCCAGCCTTTGACTTGTCTTCTTATCCTATTGACATTGTCTTTCACAGAGAGGTTTTTAATTTTAATGACATCTAGCATATAAATTATTTTTTTCATGGACTATGCCTTTGGTGTTCTATGTAAAAAGTCATCACCATACCCAAGATCATCTAGATTTTCTTCCATGTTCTCTTCTAGGAGTTTTAAAGTTTTGTGTTTTATATTTAGTTCTGTTATCCACTTTTATGAAGGATGAGTAAAATTTTGTATAAGGTCTGTGTCTAGATTAATTTTTTGAATGTGGATATCCAGTTATTCTAGCACCACTTGTTGAAAAGATTATCTTGGGGGGGGGATGGGGTAAAAAGGGTCAAATATATAAAATTAGAAGTTATGTAAATTACATCAGGTGAATAAAAAAATAAAGAAAAAACAAGAAAAGACTATCTTTGTTCCATTATATTGCTTTTGCTTCTTTGTCAAAGATCAGCTGACAATATTTAGGACAGTCTATTTCTGGGCTCTCTATTCTGTTCCTTTGATATATTTGTCTATTCATATGACAATACCACACTGTCTTGACTACTATAGCTTTATGGTAAGTCTTAAAGTCAGGTAGTATCAGTCTACCAACTTTGGTTTTTGTCCTTCAATAATGTGCTGGTTATTCTG